TTGGCAGAATCTGGCGAGCCAGACCACTTTCCCGGACTCGGACAATTGTAGTAAAGCGGCGAAGTGCTAGGACCACTTTGTGTTTTACGCTTTCCCTGGACACGGTGGTGGAAGCCAAAATCGATTTCCCCCCTCAGTGCGGAGTTGCATTTCATAGGGGAACTTTGAACTGAGTTAGACTCCATGTTTTCAAATTAATTTACCTTACGGACATTTACATTTAAGGGTTTTGAAATTGTGTTTTCTATTTACCTGTATTCAGTTTAATTTTGTAGTTCCTTATTTTGTTATACCTTTCGGTTTCAGTGAAAGGGTTGTGGAAAGAAACAAGGTAAACCAAAAGCTTGTAGCTGAGCTTAATCAAGCATTTTCAGGAAAAAATACAGGAGTCAGTTACATTAAAATTAAATTTCATTTCAGTATTTCGAGTGTGGTGGTTATTTCCCTTGTCTCGTTGCAACACTGGCTTATGAGCGAATGTGATCTTCTGATCTGGTCCATGTAAGAAGGTTCATGCTCACGTAGCAGTGTGAAACCGGCTACACTTGGTAACGACGCAATCCTCATAGCCAGCCCTGTGAGTGCCAGTGGTTGCACTGAAGTCACCCATGACCAGGGGAGTGTCACCTCGTGGGCACCCACCAACCCCTGAGCAAAATCGCAAGTAGAATGTCTACCTCAACTAGACATCACTCACTGTGGTCGGAGCATACAATGAGACAACAGGCATGACATCCAAAGAGTGCCTTAGTCTGAGTCTCATGATACGCCCATTTTAAGGAATGACATCGGACACCATTGGGAGGAGCTGATCCGTCACGGCAACAGCTATTCCCTGAGTATGGCAGCCATCAGAGCGACCAGACCAATAATAGGTGCACCCACCTACGGAGATCTGCCCACTCACCGGCCTGCATAGCTCAGAAAGTGCCCCCATTGAAATGCGCAGTTTACAAAGGTCCTCCAACAGCAGAGGAAGACGGTCATCTTGCTGGAGAGACAAGATGTTCCACGCACCTACCCATATGGGCCTTCTCAAACTGGAACCCAAGTGCTGCTATGCAGCAGTTGACGCCTCAGCACCACACCAGTTCTTATCCCCAACAGGCCTGACCGTTTTAGCTTTTCGACAGTTTCCACTTTCCCGGGGGTGAGGCTCCTTCATGATGCGTGCAGCCTTCCTATGATTGACTGCAGCAGAGCTACTCTCATATTGGTCTCTATTAAAAATGCCCATACTATTTTCCTGTTTGCCTATAAATACTATGTGTGGCAACGCAATTAATGAAATAATGCATTAACTCTCCCAGTCCTTGTGTTTTTCTCCATAATTATGAAGTTTTTCCAGTTTTTAAATTGTGTTATAGGCTGTTTTGGTTAGATGACTATACAACCCTGTTTTCAGAATTGAACTTTTTTTCATGTTGACATTTACTTTGTACAGTCCTTCTTTGTGCATATTTGCATTGCTTTGACACATCTTGCCCCTAGTGTCCTCTTTTTTGCAAAGCAAAATAAGCTCACAATACTATTTTCAGGATGATGCAACTTCAGCTTAGTAAAAGGGGTGCAACGATTATTCGACATCGTCGACAAAAATCGACAATAAAAATGGTCGCCGACGAATTTGATTGTCGATAATTGTCGCCAGACGTATATTTAAACGGAGTGAGACGTTTTCCTTCCTTTATACTTGTGCAATACTACCGCTTTCCAATAGA